ACAAAAAATAATTGAATATCAATTCAATAAAAATTTAATTAAATATACGCGATTTCAATCCGGGAAAAATAGTTTCATTTCTTATGTGTAACAATCGCGAAAACCTAAGAAATCATTTCATTGTTATAATCTATGAAATAACTTTATGACATATTGTTTTGTTAATATAACACCAGTTTTTCTAAATTTTATTTCAACTAACGCTTCAAATCTAAATTTGAAAAGAAATTGTTAATAAATTATATAATTATGTTACGTATGTAAAATTAAATAATAATAATAATAATATATGTTTATTTTTTCCAGAAACATAACAGTTGTACATGTACAAAATTGGGATGTAAGGGGGCACACACCATCACAGCTCTTATTGTCAACCTCACCTGCACGCGGTACATCCTGCAGTAACCGACGAGGCTCTGGCGACCGGTAGTAGGCGGTATAGCCCTTCCCCACATTGGCGCTGTCAAATCTGCTGGCTACCGACGGGCAGCAGCGTCGGTAGTACAAAGGCAGCGCCCTGCGATCTCCAACCCGCATGCCCAGCGTGGAGATTATGGGCAATAACCCCCTTCATGGACGGCACAACCAATCGAAGGCCCCCAGTTCCCGGTCGCCCCGCTATTCCTGGTCACGGTAGCGGCCATGGTACCGGCGGGGTAGGGGGTGCTAAGAATCCCCGGGCTACCGCAGGCTACCAAAAACAACTGACCCTGGCTACGTTTAACGGACGAACTCTTAGGCTTGACGAACACCTTGCACAGTTGGAAGTGGAACTGGAGAACATTAGATGGCATGTTCTGGGGCTGTGTGAAGTCCGAAGAGAGGGAGAGGACACCATAACCCTAGACTCGGGCCATCTACTGTACTTTCGCGAGGGTGATCAAACATCCCAAGGTGGTATAGGATTCCTCGTCAACAGAGTCCTCTCTAACAACGTTGAAGAGATCTCCAGTGTGTCGAACAGGGTAGCGTACCTGATCCTTCGGCTATCAAAAAGGTATAGCCTGAAGATCATTCAGGCCTACGCACCGACCTCGACACATTCGGATGACGATGTAGAAGATATGTACGAGGACATATCGAAAGCCTTACACAGCACCACCAAGGCTCACTTCAACGTTGTTAAGGGGGACTTTAACGCTAAAGTGGGATTCCCAAATCTTGATGAGTCTCGAGTCGGCCCGCATGGTTATGGAGTAAGGAATCACAGGGGGCAAACGCTAGTCAACTTCCTCGAGCACGAGGGGCTCTTCTTGATGAATTCGTTCTTCAAGAAGAAGCCTCAAAGGAAGTGGACTTGGCGAAGCCCCGACGCTGTGACTAAAAATGAGATCGATTTCATCCTGACGGACAAGAGACACATATTCAGAGATGTCTCAGTGATCAACAGGTTTAGCACCGGATCTGATCACCGACTTGTACGAGGCTCTCTGAATATCGATGTCAAACTTGAAAGAAACCGCTTGATGAAGTCCACGCTCCGTCCTAATCCACTCCAGATCATGGCGGGCTCCGAGAAGTTCCATGAACTTCTCGAAGCGAGATTCGTCGAGCTGGAACCCACCGAGGACGTTGACGAGGCCCTACAAGGCGTGTTTGGGACGCTGAGAAGCGAGGGCATCAAATTCTGTCAATTGCAGCGTACGGGAAAGAAGTCTAAACTCTCGGATGAGACTCTGCGACTTATGACGAAAAGACGCGATGACATCCAGGCCACTCCGTCAGAGAGGTCATACCTAAACAAGCAGATTGCGAAGATGGTACGGCGTGACCTTCGGAGCTCCAATACACGCCTCATTGAGGAGGCGATAGAGCGAAACCGAGGGTCCAAAGTATTCACTCAGCAGCTTGGAAGGAGCCACCTGACGAAGCTTACAACGCACGATGGCCTAACCGTTACGTCAAAGCCGCGGATACTCGCCGAGATAGAGGACTTCTATGGCCGTTTGTACGCTGTAAATGCTCCTCGGGTCCAGCGTGACAATCACGATTTGAGAGCCACCTTGACGCGCCACTATACCGACGACCTGCCAGAAATCAGTCAAGACGAGATCGTGTTGGCTCTAAAACAGCTTAAAAATGGAAAAGCCCCCGGTGAAGACGGAGTTACTTCGGAGCTTTTGAAGTCTGGAGGAGTTCCTATTATCCAGGAACTTCAGAAGCTCTTTAACTTGGTCATTCACTGCGGGAGAACTCCACGGGCGTGGAACAGGAGTATTGTAGTTCTCTTCTTTAAAAAGGGAGATAAAACTCTACTGAAAAACTACCGACCCATCTCACTCCTGAGTCACGTCTACAAGCTGTTTTCTAGAGTCATCACGAATCGCCTCGCAAGAAGACTCGACGAGTTTCAGCCACCGGAACAGGCCGGGTTTCGGGGAGGATATGGCACCATAGACCACATACACACAGTGAGGCAGATTATACAGAAGTCCGAAGAGTATAATCGCCCCTGTGTTTAGCTTTCGTGGACTATGAGAAGGCCTTTGACTCTGTCGAAACCTGGGCTGTCCTGGAATCCTTACAGCGGTGCCAAGTGGACTATCGTTATATACAAGTGTTAAGATGTATTTACGATGCTGCTACCATGAGTGTCCAAGTACAGGACCAGCAGTCTGAACCTATCCAATTACGCAGAGGGGTGAGACAGGGGGATGTCATATCCCCGAAACTGTTCACCGCTGCATTGGAGGATATGTTTAAGACGCTGGACTGGAAAAGGATGGGCATTAACATAAACGGCGAGTACATCTCACACTTGCGATTTGCAGATGACATAGTCCTAATGGCAGAATCGCTGGAGGAACTGGATCAGATGCTGAACAGCCTAGCATCCGCCTCGCGGCGGATTGGTCTCGGCATGAACTTTGATAAAACCAAAGTCATGATCAATGACCACATTGATCCGAGACCCATCTGCGTCAATAGCCACCTTCTTGAAGTTGTTTCCGAATACACTTACCTCGGGCAGATTCTGCAGTTAGGTAGAAATAACTTCGAGAAGGAGGCCAGAAGGAGGATTCAGCTTGGCTGGGCAGCGTTTGGGAAGCTACGTCGAGTCTTTTCGTCACCCATCCCGCAGAGCTTGAAAACAAAGGTTTTCAACCAGTGCGTCCTACCAGTTCTAACGTACGGAGCTGAGTCGTGGACACTCACGATACGGCTAGTCCACCAGTTTAAAGTCGCTCAGCGAGCTATGGAACGAGCTATGCTCGGAGTTTCTCTGAAAGATAAACTCCGTAATGAGGTTATCAGACAGAGAACCAAAGTGATCGACATAGCTCTTCGGATAAGCAAGCTGAAGTGGCAGTGGGCTGGACATATCTGCCGAAGAACCGACAACCGCTGGGGTAAACGAGTTCTTGAGTGGAGACCACGACTTGGCAAACGTAGTGTGGGACGCCCTCCAGCCAGATGGAGTGACGATCTGCGGAAGATTGCTGGCAGGAAATGGATGCGTCAAGCCGAGAACAGGGCGAAATGGCGTGCATTAGGGGAGGCCTATGTCCAGCAGTGGACTGCAATAGGCTGATGATGATGATGATGATGTACAAAATTAATATCATGTAATTAAATCTATTCGATGTTTGTAAGTAAATAAATATTGATTGCATTTGTATAAAATTATTTTATTTCAATTTCGAAATATGATATTCCTAATATAATTATTACATTAATTTTAAAATTTAAATTTATAAAAAAAAAATGTTTGTGTTTAAAATTATAAAATTAGTTTACCTGAAAACATGTTCGGAAAAGCAAATTTTATTAGAGCTACTTAGATCTTGTAGTCAATAAGTATTACCGGATCAAAGTTTAAAAAAAAACAGTGGTTTATGAACAAATTTCATATTCATGGTTCAACTCCAAATGCATTAATATGAGATTCAGATAGCGAAGTGTTCGAAGAATGTCCAGCCCTGTAGGGAAGGGAATACATAAGTGAAACGTGTCGCGGATGACACGGTCACGGCAGACATGGGACAATGTGATCGATCACACAAGGAAAACGTGCCACTTCGATGTATGGAGCGAAACGTTTAAGAATATTTCAGATACATATGTAACCCTATAATAAACCACACTAATCTGAATAATGCAGCTGTTTATCAATGCTATATACCGTAACTTTGGTGTAATAAGACCATATCTCCAATATGAAAACTTTTCAGGAGATAGGTTATAGATAGAACGAAATTAGTCAATAATTTATTTACTTTTTAGTTCAATATCGAGTCGATAACTTATTCATTTGTAACTGCCTCCATGGCCAAACGGCTACCATGTCGGACTGCCACGCAGAGGTCACAGGTTCGATTCCCGGGTCGGAAGAAATATTTGTATGGCCAACATTTATTTCTCTCGTTTGTGTGTATTTTGTGGTTGTCTATGTGTGTCTACGGCCCCCGACCCGCGACACAGGATTTCCCTAGTATAGGGCTATGTTGAGTGTGTGCGTTATTTATTTATTTACGACTAAATATGTGACTTGTAAAATTTTAGCTTCACGTTGTTCGTAGCTTTCGTAGTGTTTGGAGCAGTAGAGCTTCTCGTGAAAGAGTTCATCATAACACTTAATAGGAACATACTTAATAGGAGCTTTGAATCCTATTTTTCAATTTGTCAGAAATTTTTACGGAAAAATTTCCACTAGTTTATTTCAATTTTTCGGAAAAATTCCCAACACTAGTGCTAAAAGCACTTTGACATATGATGACATGTGGCTTTATTATACCAAAGGTGGAAAAAGTCTGCATTAAATAACATAAGTATCGCGGTCAACTACAGGCAGAGGAATATGTGATCAATTGCATCAAGAATTCTCCTTGCTCCGCTACGAGATGTGAATAGTAATAACTTCACTCACGCTACTCAGTTCGTACACAAATAAATGCTACAGTGAGGTAAAGTTATTCGGTTAAACTTCGCGAATGTGAAATACCCAAAGCGGTAGTTAGTCATAATTCCTATCTATCAATTAGCTCTTTACAACTTACTTTCTCGCAGACGTTGCGGCATCCCCCCGACGCTTTGTCGCAACACGCCGATATGTCTGAAACAAAAAACGCCATAAAGTACATAAACACAAAGCGTTTCTGTATGAAAACGTCAACAGGATCCTATCCCAACAGCTGGTGAAACACTCGCGCCCCACAATAAAGCGTCTGTGGCAGATACAGATGACTCTATAAAGCTTTTGATCTATTTCTTACGTCTCCGCCGAGTTATTGTTCTAATTTATTTATAGAAAGTCGTTACTAAATATTATTTATTACACAGCTACTCTAAAGTAGCCATACCGCGGCGAACAGCGTTAAAGGTATACGATAACCTCAATAAATATTTATGAACACACGATTTATCCTTTGCAAGTTGTAATAGATAAATAAAACATCCCTACTTATAAAATTCATACAAAGTGTAAAGATAATTTTCGTTTGATCAACGCGAACACCGGTTGTGAAATGCGAGTGACACGTAAATTGATTTGATCTTCTTAAGCTGAGTAAGTGACAAATTAATTTCAAGGTGAGGATTAAAGAGAAAGCAAAGATTATAGATATTTACGTAGTGGTTGGCGAACCTGTTTAGTAGGTCTCGCCTTGAGCTAATTTCAATAAAGTCAAATTATAGGAAGTAAGGCATATAAATTGACTGAGGATAGCTCTTGATCAGGGTCGTATTGCGAACACATTATTCTCTCTCTCACACACACAAATTTTTGGTTAGTTGTAGAACAAGTAGAGCCCCTTGTGAAAGAGTGCGTCCAAGGTAGTACTGTCACCTTACCTATTTCTGCCGCCAAGCATTAATGTCAGCATTACTGTGTTCCGGTTTTGTAGGGTAAGGGTGCTGGTGAAATTACAGCCACATTGGACTTGTCAACTTATGTCTCGGGGCGCAGTGGTAGTGCCCCTCAGATATTTGCAATTTAAAGGTCTGAGTGGCACTGTAACTGGTATGGACAGGTTTGTAGCTTACCGTCAGGCGTACGACTGGTTTGTCCCGTCACTTAATGTTATAAAAAAAACGAAAAACCCTTTTTGTCCGTTGTAACCATTGACTTACAATGTAAGTCAATGGGTGTAACGTAAAGTTTTAAATTGCAGGGAACAACCCATCACTAACAGCAGTCAGAAACCTACAAAATGTATTTCAGTATCACATAAGAACTCTGTGACACCGACAGTACAGAGTTAATAAAGTCAATGTCAACTGCTTTTATCACATGAAAGTCGTGAAAATAATACAAACTACATAAAACTAGAGTACATTCGAAAAAGCATTCGATCGTGTTGATCATAATATTCTTTTATCAAAACTCCCACGTGCTGGGGATACACGGGGATCTTTTGCGGTAGGTGAAGTCCTATCTCATCAATAAATCTCAAACGGTTGTCATCGGCGGTTACAAAACGGACTATGTAAATATACCCTCTGGTGTACCCCAGGGATCGCTCCTGGGCCCATTATTCTACAATACCTTTTTATATGACATATATACTTGCAAATCGCCCTCAAAATTTCTTATGTACCCTGTTGATACAGAAATATATCGCGCAATAAAAGCTGAAAATGATACCATGTATCTCCAGAACGATATTAATTGTTTAGTCGAATATTATAAGAAAAACCGTATAACAGTTAATTTCAATAAATGACAAGTAATATCTTTCAGTCATAGCCCTCGTCCTATAAAGCACATATATACCATGAATGGTGCTCAGTTGAACAGAGTGGAACAAGTCCGTGACCTAGGCGTTCATTTAGATCATACATTTTATATTAGTCATCATATTGACACCATAACCAGTAAAGCTAATAAATCCCTTACTTTCGTGATGAGAATGCTCCTCATTTCGCGACCCTGTATGTATTAAAAACTTGTACTTTTCATACGTGCGCAGTACACTGGAGTATGCGTCAACTATTTGGTCACCTAACTATAAAAAAAATACATAATTGTAATAGAAAATATACAGAAGAAGTTTGTTAAATTTCTTAATTTCAAAACTTTTAAGACATCTTCATCTTACGACGACAGCTGTAAGAACAATAATGTACTACCGTTAGAACAAACGACGAATTCTTTTAAATATGTTATATATGTACGATATTTTAAACTCAAATATTGATTACTCTGAACTAATAGGTAGCCTGGGACTTAATGCTCCGAAAAAGCGGACACGACATACTCGACTCGTACACGTGCCTACCCACCGCACCAACTATGGAAAAAATTTTCTTAGTGGATACAATTGCTACTTTTTTATGTTTAAATTCTTTTTACCGACTACCTTCTAAATAACACAAGGCGATCTGTTATTGGCCTTACAAACAAACATAATTTTTATTGTTAAATATTATTTAAGAAACGCCGTTGAATGTCTGAAATAAATAAAATAAATAAATAAAAAAATTATGTATATACAACAAGGTTATTTTAAAATACTAACAACCTCACAGGACTATGTTACTAACATCATAAACAACAAGTTTTGTTACATGACTTTTTGCAAAACATAATAAATTTACCAAAAATAAACCGTAACACATTTTTAAGTTTTGGTTGTACTATCTGACACTAGTACATATATTTGGCAGAATAAGTTCATACGTGCAAGCGTCCTCCGCGATGACTCCCACCCCCATGAAAGTATTTTAAATAAATAAACTACTCATCTATTAGCTAACACACTTTAAAGTTTGTTCAGTGCAGTAGTCATAAGGCCTCGAGTATGTAAACAGAAATAGAGCCGAAATGTCATTTAATTTGTTGGAAAACTATTCTGCCAAATCATTACAGTGACAACTGCGCTTCGATTGGCCAGCCCAAATTGGAAACAATTGACGGATATCGTCCATGTCAATTGTTTAACTTCAAAACGTCCAGTTTGTGATGTGATTCCGTTTGTTTTGTAATTAGATGTTTTGCTGTTTTTCCCACACCATCGAATGGAATAGCCCACGGGGGCTGAGTTAGAGATATTATCTTTATTACACTAAATACACAATATTTTTAAGTTACAATATTTTTGGGATATACGGAGATGTACACACAGGTCAGTTGTTGGCGCTGTGCTATCTCAATTTTCTAATGTGTGGTTTCAGCGCAAACGAGAGTTGATATTTAAAAGTGATATAAGATCCATTTGCCTGACGAGTTGCCAGGGATGGATGGCCCGTATTTCCGTCTCTATTTCTGGTTATATACTCGACGTCATAAGGCTATCAGTTTCGTGTAACGCCCAATACGGACCTGGCGATCTCCCAGTGCCATCACGAACCCTGCTACGATTACTACGCTGAACAAGATAACCGCATCATATTCTATAAGTTTGCTTTTACTCAATCCTCTTTAGCTAATGCCTACCCTGAGATTATGCAAACCACAGTTGTGAAGTGCCGCTATTAATAATACGTTTTGCAGATAAGGGTGTGTACTGGTCCACACCCGTTATAAATTTGTAGTTTGCAACTGAAGGAAATTAGTTTTACAAATTGCTTTTATAATAGGATTTACTGGAACTAGGCTCCAGTCATCTAGAGATGTACAGCCAACAGCTTGCTGGGATACAATTTGATCTTTGGATCGTCTTATACATAGTAAATAACATTGTTGAATTAATGATTTAATGAAATGTAAATAGAGGCGTGTCGGTTTTCACGCCTAGGCAATAAGAGAGTTTATAAGATTTATATAGTACCAAGTGGACTTAGTAGCAATAGTGCTTGTGAAAGTTTATCCAGGGTATGTACTGTCACCACAAAAGTCTCAATAATACATTGATTTTGCTTAACAATAAAACTAAACTAAATAAGACATGGAAAACCGATTTTATAGATCTCGTTTTGTTGCTTCCCAGATACGTTAATAACTCGATTCCTCTAAAAATGTCGATTACGTTAATAATGATAAGGATAAGGAGAGTAGAAATATAGAGCTCTTGCATATTAATCCCATTAACAAAATTGCCACCCGGAATTATTGCAAATTATAATATTGAATCGCAATTATCAGTACAATACATGCACTTGTGCGGTTCAGGGTAATTCAATTGAATTCAGTATCCGAGTTCGATAAATGAATTATGAATCGCTTTGTGCTCGACGTTGAATCGATTTTAACTGTCGTCGTAAAAATTAATTGGTGATTATTAATCGTGAGTAATATGTAGATTCGACATTGTGTGTTTTTCGAAATTAAAACGTTCAATCCTGTTTTGTAAACACCGTGGTAGCCTAATGGTTTGACTTACCACCTCTGAAGCAGAGGGCGAGTATTCGAATCCAGGCTTGTACCTCTAAGTTTCTCGGAATTTATATGCGAAGTTTAATTTGAAGTTTACCATTAGCTTTCCAGTCAAAGAAAACATTGTGACAAAACCTGCTCATATCTGCAAAGCAATTTCAATGATGTATGTGAACTTCCCAATCCGTATTGGTAAACTACGGCGCAAGCCCTCCCATTGTGACGAGACATGTGCAAAAGGAGGCATGTGCCCAGCAGTGGAACTATATATACAGGCTAACTATTTATCCTGTTTTGTAATTGCATTCGCTTCTTTAAGGGTGAGATTAAAATATTTACAAAATGTGCCCAGCCTTTTATTCGTCTGAACTGCTTAAATAAATAACTTAATTTAATTTACATTCATGATTCATTTATTTTAAACATCACCTTGTGTACCTACTCATATAAAAACATAACATCATCATATCCATTACCCTGTGGGGTAGACGAGACGAACTAGACGTGCGCCTGGTGGTTAGCGACACGCTTGTCCATAACAGTTGTTGTGCCACTCAAAGCTTCAAATCACAAAGAACAGAGGGTCAACTAAATAGATATTTCAAGTACTGCTAGACATAAATTAAAATGTACCTCTACTTTATTGACATCCTGAAAACTCGGACCCACTTCGGATGTCTCTTGTGCACTACACATTGCTTATGTACACATTGTTTTTTTTTTATTTGTTTTTTTTTATTTGTTTTTTTTTATAACATTAAGTGACGGAACGAACAAGTTGTGCGCTTGTAAATTACATGTCTGTCCATGTCAGTAGCAGTGCCACTCAGAGCTTTAATTTGCAAAGATCTGAGGGGCACTACCCAGGGGCGCCCGTCACCTTGACACATAAGTTAACAAGTCCCATGTGCCTGTAATTTCATCAGCACCCTTACCCTTCAAAACCGGAACACAGGAATGCTGACATTATTTCTTGGCGGTAGAAATAGGTAAGATGGCAGTACTACCCTGGACATACTCTTTCACAAAATCTCGCACTAGATATCACCCTTTTTTTCTATATCTACGGATATCACTAGCGGCGACAAACGCCGAAAAGTCAGTACTAAGATCTATAACGAAAACACAGGAGAATTTCGACGAGTCGGTACGAAACTGGAGAAACTGGACCCATGGCTCAGATGGCTAGGACAAAGCGAGTTCGAGTCCCGTCCGGTCGACGACAAAAAAAAATTTTCTGTGTGGTCGATCTCTATATTCATAATCATTTTAAATTCGAGTTTATCAACAGAGTTAAATAGTTGTTTCAGGTACTGCTAGATATAAATACTCATAAAATATACCATATAGATAAATACTACTTTATAGATAAATGAGATCTTACCTTGTGAATTAGCACAGGCCAACGTCACAGCAGCCACTATCAGTCTTGACTTCCACCATAAACATCGTCGATCAATTCCTTTACGTTTTTTTGTTGCCATTCTTCGTTCTTGAGACTTCTATTATATGGTATTTAGGTTATACCCATCTGTAATTATAATCGTAAACTTTAGCATGTACGTAAGGTACACATGAATCATCTTTGACCCATTTAAATGTCCCTATGCTGGGCACGACTCTCCTCTCACAGTTTGGGACATAGTCTGACGGCCTCAGTGGTAGAGAGGCTTGCACATCGATTTTCATAGTGTCGCCATCTCAGAGATCTCGGGTTCGATCCCCAGCCGAGTCGCACTGCATCCGACTCGTATGCGTTCCGAATCCCAGACAATACACAACTAGAAAATTCGGGCCCACTTCGGATGTCGCTTGTGCACTAAGTGCGATTCTACACTACTAGAAAATATACGAATATCGTGACATTCCGGACAGGCATTTGTCGAATTCGTAACTGGGTGTTTACTCTCGATCTCCGTCCGACATCCGTCCGAAACAATTACTGTCAAATAAGTAATATTCGACAAAATTAAAAGACAAGTATCAAGTATGAAGCTTCATTCTCATCACGCGTCTTTTCATTTGGTCAAGTATTGGTTATTTGGCAGTAATTGTTTCGGACGGATGTCGGACGGATATCGAGAGTAGACCCCCCGATACGAATCGAATATAATACGCAAACGCTCTTAGGCAATAAAACACTTTTATTTTAATACGACAGGCCGGACAATATACACTTTGAAGTCATATTTGCAAACATAAGAAACACGACGTTTTCAAAATTCAAACGGCGTTTGTTCACAACGAATCTGAGTTCTGATACCCAAACAAGTATTTAATTAGAATCTAAATTAATTAAAAAATCATGTCACGCGTTCTTCTGTTTAAATTAAGAAAAAAAAAGATCGTTTTACCGCCCACACCATCCGCAATAATCTCATAAATAGCCAGTATCTTGTAGTAGTTTATGAATTTAATTACAAATCTTGTAACAAGCAGTAATCGCAATGTGGTGGTATATGAAAGTTGTGCAGTGATGTGGCGTAATGCAACTAATTTATAACATTAAACATTTTATTGCCAACCTAATTAAAAATGCTCTGAATTTACACTACGCTCTGCAATGAGCTCAATCAATATGCAGTGTTAACAAATTATGATAACATACAACTTGGTTATTAAAAGTGATAAACAGTTCTACTAGGATAATGTTAAACTAATATAAAATTGCGCTTTCTGTTGATACAGAAAAGGTTTCTATTAGTGCAGAATCTGCCTGAATAGGTGCTATTTCCACTGCAAAGCAGCACTACGTTCCTGATTGAAATTCAATTCAATTAAACAGGAGCGAGGGCAAGAACAATCATAGGCGCAGGGGTCATAAGACCTTATGTTTCACGGTTGGCAACACATTTGCGATATTGTGAATAAGAACTTTCGTAATAAAGCAGACGTCTAGGCGGCGATCATCACTTTTTTGATAAATAATAATAGATGCACGCCCCTTGTCCACACTACCAAAAAAACGACTGAAACGAGTTTGTCGAGGTATATAAGAAATAAAAGGATAATGTTAACTCGTTAGGTACCTACCTAAACTCAAACTCAAAATATTTATGTAACTGGTAAACAAATTACACTTCAAATCATCATATTGATTAAAATCTACTACTCATTCGTAAGACACATTCCCCTGAGAAGAACGAGTAAGAAACACTAGGGGTTATTCTTTTTAAATTAAATCAGGAGCAAATCAAGACCTCAAACAGGACCGAGAGCAAGCCTAATCATCCTAAGATCTTATATTCCACAGCCGGCAACACATTTAATACGTTATGAATATTTTCTTAATTGGCGATGATCATCACTTTTTTAAAAAAGATGTAAGCACTAAACAAATTACACTTGAAATCACATTTATTAAAACTTACTATTTATTCTCTCGAGAAGGGTAACAAACACCAGGGGTTGTTCTTTGTAAATTCTCATTTATACACACTTACCATTTACAATATTTATTTCAAATATAATGGATAGAAAAAACCTGCAAGAGCCAAACGGGTTACTACCAAGGATTTTTGTCATACAAGTACGTAGAAGCCATATAACCTTTAGGATAAAGTTTTTGTTGCACTGAAGTTTCAACCCTCGTAAATGGCAAATTTTGAATATCAACCGAAATTTTATTATAGACGCGTATACAATGTTCATTAAATGAATTTGTGACTTGTTAAGACGACTTTCAAGAACAGCCATTTTATTTTTATTCCTCGTAATAATGTTACGTCTACCACTATTTTTTTTATAAAAAAACACTATTCTTCTTAACATAAATTACGTAATCATAAATGTTCTGTGATGATAGTATAACAATGTTACTCATTTTTTAAACTTCTCTCTCAAAGACACTCCTGTTTCTATTCTATTTCTATTGATAGTAATACTATCATCTACGTATTACCATAGAAATAAGATCTTTATATGGTAGTTAAAAAGTCCTTCTCTAAACGTACTCGTATTACAAAAGGTAAGTAGAGTTTGAGTAATTTCAAGTTTTACAAAACTTTAATACGACCACCATTTTTAATAAAAATTTATAATCTACTCACCGTAAAACGAAGAATGGTAGATTTTACATCCGTGAAAAGTCATTAAATAGGTACCCAAAATCCATTTTCATTAGTTCCTTTATGACACCATTACAGCATGGCCATTAAAAAAGGACTCGTATATCTGGGCACGCTTTATTGACAGTTATAACATGTGGTACTCAGAGTTAGAGAAGCCTAGAAATAAATACTACGAGGCTTTATGCATAGGTACCCAGAGCCGGATTTAAAGTTTGAGCGCTCGTAGGTTAAAAACTTTTAGACCATCATCATCATCAACCCATTTATACGTCCCAATGCTGAGCACGGGGAGACCCGTCTATAATCCTCGCCTGAGATGAGTCTCAGGCGAGGATTTAGGTCATAGTCCGTCCCGCGAGCCCTATGATGGTGACCTGACCATCGTCAGGTTTCATCACGATATTTTCCTTCACCAAAAAGTGTCATGGTAAATTTAAACTAAATTTCGCATATAAATTCGTGCAAACCCGGATTCGAACCCACGGCCTCTGCTTGAAAGGCGGTAGGTCAACCCTGTACCACGGCTTTTTTAGAACTTTTATGAATTTTGTTTAAATAATACCTTATTTACCATGCGCCCCTCAACATTGTTCGCTGTTAGGCCGGGGCTTAGCAAGCCTAATAAAAAATCCAGACTAGAGGTACCTCGGTAACAATTACCTATTTATATGAATCTGTAACAACTCCACATTATGATTGAAAATACAATCAACTTTTATATAAATCTTTTTCATAGGACTTCCCATCGGTTTTTGATTGACTACTACAGGACAATAATATCAGTACAGAATACTAAAAAAACGACCCCAAAAGTTCGTGGAGTTACCAAGTGCGCGGTAAAATCGGTTACCGGAAAGTGCGCGAAACCGGATTCAACCCTAGTTTGCCATCCTTCGATGTGAAATTTTTTTTTTTTCAAATTTAAATGGGACCACTACCGAGGTTCCCTCTTTCCAACAAAAAAGAATCATCAAAATCGATTCACAAAATGCAGGAAATGCCGGAGTTATCGCGTAGCATAGATACAAAAAAATACAGTCGTATTGAGAACCTCCTCCTATTTTGAAGTCGGTTAAAAAGGCTTTTCAAAAAAGGTATTTTTTATTAAAATAAAAAATATCAAAATAAAATAAGTCAATCAGATAGCAGTGCGTTGGCTCGCATCTGATTGGTTAATTTCCTTACTTGACTTGACACACATTGATTGACTACAAATCTGTATGAAGAGGATGATCACGGGATGTCATGTATCAGCAAATTCTGAGTTTCGAGGCCAGTTGTCGAGCTCTTGAACCGCTTTCTACAAATGAGATGGAGACGCTAAGACCCATGAAGTACCGTGACAACCCACGAGAAAGTATTAAGTAGTCCTACCACATCGTGGCAACATGGCAAGACGGAAACCTGCATTAGATATATTACATGACATTTTACTGATGCTCTATCAGCAGAAACTTCAAGAAAGTAATACACATAGAGTGACTAATCCCTCTGAAATCGCGGAATTATTGTTTATATGTTTTGTTCTATGACGAACGATGAATTGTAAGTAAAAATATAAGCTTTTTTTATGCTACAAAACGACGAGACGAACCTGTCTGGTGGTAAGCGACATGCCTATCCATAACAGTTACAGTGCTACTCACAGCTTTAAATCGCATAGATCTGCGGGGCACTGCCATTGCGCCCGTCACCCTGAGACGTAAGTTGACAAGTCCCATGTGAATACCTAATTTACTATACTACTATAATATATCATTCACCCTTCAAAACCGAAACGCAATAATGCTCATATAACTGTTTGGCACCAGAAATAGGTAAGGTAGCATTTCTTCCCTAGACGAACCCATTCACAAGGAGTTCTACCACTAATATAATTTATACTAGATTTTTTGGATATTATTTTTTATATTTTTTATCGTTCCGGAATTTCATTGGGAAGTATTATGCACTCTATGTCTGTGTATCTTGAAGTTTACTTAAACATATAGTCCGCCTATTACGTTTATTAATGACAGATTAAAAACAATCATATAAACATAAAAGTCGCGAATGTGACCCAATGGACTTGTTAACCCTCATTAAAGTGGTCACACAATACTGGTAGCGACGCGTAGACGCGAACCCGCATCACAATGTTTATTAGCCATAAACTGAACATAGTTACATGTGCTATGTGGCACTTGCCCAGTGGATGGGTCAATGTTTCTTTATATTACTAAAGACTATGAAGTTCAAAGAAACCTAAAAAGACAGTCATTCATTAATTTTTTACATAGAGGAACTATTTTCGGACTCAGGTTGTAATGTAGCATAATAGAAATTGTAAATTGTTTTTAATACAAATTATTAATGTATATGTATAATTCGTTTACATCAACGTGGACTAGCTTATGCTGTCTGCTATCGATGAAAGCTCGGATATGATTTGTGTTTCTTGATTTATTAACAATTTATTTTGATCGTCAGTTTCTAATTAAAGTATATGATCACCACTTCCACTCCACATTTATATTTACAATGTTATATACATTTTATTTTGTTGTGATACCTATTAGGAAGAACAGAGCTTACTGGGAAGTTGGTAAAAGTTACAAAAAAAACAATCACGTTCACGAAGTGGGTGGTTTGCTTTATATTAGACATAACTAGTTAATGAATATTCACCACCATCTCAGTCAGTCGTGATCATGGGACCTGTAAAGGGCCCGAAACGTTGGTATACTCCCTCGGACACATAATTCGAGCCACTATACTCTTTTTATTTTTAAAGGACTTAAACACAAAAATATCGTTATTATCGAAGAAAAAGTTATCACCAGTTTTGCAAGTTCAAATTTTTAACACAGGACTTATGGAAATGACGTTTAATATATTAGTTTTAAAATTAGTTTTTGTTCATACAAACATTGTTTACGCAGATGACATTTAATACTGAAAATACTGGATGGCTCGAATTTATGTCTCCGTGTGTATACGCGATTTATATCCGAAAATATAATTTCATTTGAAACATGTAGTCAGTAATCGCGAAAACCTAAAAACTCCATAGTCACGTATATGAATATCTCTTTTTTATTTCGAAACATTTTCCACTTAACGACAACTTTGCCAAGTACTAAAGGTAAACCCATATCAAATACTCACAGATACGTAAGTAAATGAAATATTTCACGTTTTACATCGTGGTGTGAACAAGTTTTCACACAAATCAAAAGAGCCGCCGCTGCCGCCTGTGCCGCCGCCGGTCGGTTTGCGAATCGGCGGGCTCTAATAAAAATGCTTTATGACTCCATCTGCTACTCGCGACTTCAGAAACTTTATGAACTAGGAAAGTGAATATTGCGTATCTAACGTATCTGTTACTCCGTTTGCTCTACTTTATTTACTATAGAGGATAGACTACTATCCTCCACATTCGTCTTTTTTATTTTACTATTTGGCACTATGGCATCCAGCCCTTGGCCATATGCAGTTTCATCCAATTTTGTATATTATGATTATTTTTATGATTCCAGTTGAAGAATGACAGTGAATCTACATTGATAGTCACTCCACGTCAATATTATTTAACTTAATAAGAACCAGAAAACTTTTAATTTTTATTTTTATAATACCAAGTCGACACGCCAATCTATAACAGTTGCAATGCCACTCAGAGCTTTACATCGCAAATATCATAGGACACCGTTGCGTTCCGGTTTTGAAGGGTGCTGGTGAAATTACAGGCACATGGAACTTTTCAACTTATGTCTCAGGGTAATGGGCGCAGAGGCAGTACACCTCAGATCTTTGGGCTTTAAAGCTCTGAGGTGCATGACGTTCGTCCTATCATAAAAAAAAATAAAAAATAAAACGGGAATGCAGTAGAAGATGGCAGTACTTTCCTGAACGAACTCTTTCACAAAGAGCTCTACCAATATACCTACTCGTACATCAATATGTACATAATATGTGAAGTGATTCAGAGCCACAGGAAAATAAATTTAAAATTTTTAATTGTAGGCCATATGACCACTCTCTACGTGATTACAAATCCTGCTGGGCATATCGATTCTTATTTTCGCGTTTGTTATACATTGGAAATGAAACTAATGTTTCTTCGGTTCTAAATCGTTTATATTTATTTTTTCATTCAAACCAACGTTGCGGGCCTTTTGCTGGTCCCATAGTCATCTCACTCAGCCGTGACCATTACAGCTATAAAGGCCACAAAACGTTGCTTTATCAGAAAAAAAAAACAAAAATAAACGCGGTTTAGAAATGAAAAAAAATCCAATTAATTAGACTAATTTATTACGTTAAAGATTGATTATCTTTAACTTAGTTAACTTTCTTCAAATAGCTTTGTAAATACACAAGACAAATCGTCATAGATCGGACATTCTCGGATTTTTTTATAATATCCGAGAAATACGATTTCATATTACACTCTCAAATACATAAATAATAAAAATTACCACTAAAAATAGGCAGAGAATACTAACCCGAAAATGACCCGAATATACTTTACAATTTTTGAAAACGCGAATATTCAATAAACATCAATAAGATCACTTTGATTACATATCTACGTCTACATACAATTTCACACAAGTTACAAATACTTATAATCAATTGTATAGCCTGTTTTCATTAAACACTCATGAGACAAAAATTATTTATTAAACGTGCTGTAAACTAATACGGTTATTGCCCAAGTGCGTCGTTATTTCTAATATCTGCTAGTTATTTTTGGCCACGCTCATCTCATATATCACTTCAAAGCATACTCCCGGACATGTCTTATCTTTATAACGTGTACCTAATCTTCCCTCTTCAGATCAGAACTAATGAACCACCATAATGTCATCAACACTGTACTCAAACTTTATCAAAATGTTTTCACTTTTTAAGAACAAAGGTTTTTTTACAAATACGGGCACAATATCATTTATTCATTATCCAATAAAAAAATTTAATCCATAGGTTCCATTTTTAAAACAATCACGATAAGCCGGTGAAATTCGCGCGCTTTTTCTGTATCAGGCAGCAGCGGGCAAACACAACTCAACACACGACCGTTCTCGCGCCAAATTGACGCGTTACTAAATAGACCGGCATAAATTCATTCAACTCCAGACTCTAAATCTTCCGTCTTTGTCTTTCGAACTCATTTGGGTGTACGGTTGTCTTTTTCTTTCGCTTCCGCTTGATGAACCCTATTGAGCTCGTTAGTCATTAATTAATTCTGCATAAGAAAATTACTTTTAATTTAAACGGTACACAGATGGGACCGATTCTGAGCGGAGCTTAGGAACCGTCATGAACTATGGAACGCCTGTAAAACAAACTTACACCTTATCACTAACTTTGTTTGAACCAATATTTCAGGAGTGAACTAATTGTCGAGAAAACTATTTGTCATACTAGAGTATGAAGTATAGAAATAAATTTCAAAATAAGTATTGGAATCAGTTCGTAAAGTTACATAAACTTGCACAACACTGTTTTTAACCATTTAAGTATGTGTTTTGATAAAAATAATATCCACATACCGTACTCCTAACTCAAATTGTTAAACTCTACATGAATGTAGAGGCGAAGTCAACACAAGTGCAAGTGGCTAAACAAGAGTTCGCTTTTATCCACAATACTAAACAAATAATGTTACGAACTTCACAGCACGTGTTCCAAGGAACACAATAAAAATCCCATTTAATGCGCAATCGGCAGGATTCTGTGCAAAGTGATATTTATCGCGAATCGAGAAGATACTCGTATTTCTTTATAAGAACCGCGAAGGATAGAGACAATCTATATCAATAAGTGACAATTTATTGACTGAAAACGTTAAATATGTTTTCCGATGTACCCTTGCGTTGTATAAATCTTGTTGGTTAAAAGCCATTTAAAATTTTACTTCATGTCGCTTATTATAAGAATAGTCATAAATTCATGTAGCGAATGCTGTATAAATATATCTAATAGGTACATCTTTAGTATCTACTTAACTCGTGTAATCACTACAATATTGCCGTCCGCTAACGAAAAAGCGGCTAAGTGACAAAATTTTTTTTTTGAGATAAATCATAAAAAATCACAACCCAGTTTTAGAATATTAAAATTGTTTAATGATATTACAGGTATGCATCATTAGGGTAAGTTCCGATAAGGCGAACACGTTATGTAAGTTTAACTGTTTTTAAAAGATACTTTTGTGCTCTATCTTTTGCTATTTAAAACGGATATTTGACCATTTGTCACTTAGGCGCCTTTTAGATATTGGACGGCAGAATACTGGAATAATCTTTGCCAGTTAGTTATTCCTATATTAAAAGTCTCTCGAATTACTTTTTGGTTTTGTTATTACTATATTTATTTATTATTAAGAGCGGTTAGTAGTCTCGTGAAAAACGCTTATTTCTCAGTTGAAAATTCAGGGCAACCAACAAAAAATCAATGATTTGGCATTTTTTAACCGACTTCAAAACGGAGGAAGTTCGATTGTGTTTTTTTTTGTATGTATGTTACCCGATAACTCTATTTGTGAACTTCTAAGCAAAATCGCTTAGAATAATAACGCATAGAAACCTAGTCCGCACACGCTAAGTGAGGCAAATTGAAGCGTGCCAAAAGGGCCTACACGAGCGGGCGGGCCTTCAGTGCTCAAGGTCAACTTGCACCGCGAACATATCAAGAATTTTAGCTAAAAATGACGAAATGTGCGATAAATGAGTGTAAAAAATACGTCAGACGAACATAAAATAGATACTAACATCACATTCCACAAGGAAGTAACGCGTTTCAACTTGTATTTTTATATAAATATTCACTAAAACCGAAAATTAACCTACTACTAAAACTAGCCTACATGAATTTGATTTTTGCCTCACTTGTGACAGTTCGTTTGATATGAAACTATCATTCTATGCGTTATTATTCTAAGCAATTTTGATGATTCTTTTTTTGTTGGAAAGAACGTACCTCAGTCCCATTTAAATTTTAAGAAAATATTCCACCTTTAGGGGTGGCAAACTAGCGGATTAATGACTTTTGAGGTCGGTTGTTTTACTCCGTACTGAGATTATTTTCGTTCCAGGTACGTTAAATGTAATCTACAAGCTCTCTACTAACTTTTTACTAGAGCCCAATACTAAAAACCTTTGTATGTCTTAATTACGGAAACTTGTCTTAATTTTTAATTGCCCCAATTCCAACCAATCATCACCTAAACTTCCCAACGATTGAGGCTGGTTAAATAAAGGGTACTAATAAAAGCAACAAAAACTAAATTAAAAATGAGCTTATTCAAAATATGAATATTACTGCGTTATTTACTAAGCTACCGAAAGCTATTGTGCAAATGAGAATACAGAAATAACCGAATGAAATACGCAGTATAATCCTCGTTCAAAAGATTAAAGACGACGATGTTCAATAAAGCAGAAGGCACCGCTTGATGTAGTCTCAAGTGGTCTTTGGCCGTCTGTCCCACGACCACTTGACTTTAGCAGGTAAGGCCTTTAACAAGGATTCATTGTACGGAAGATCGATATTAAGCATTTATGTGCTACTGTTTTTTTTTCGAATAAAGGCTATGAAGCTTCATGTCCCGCTGTCGCCAAAATACTTAGCATGGTCCCGCTTTGATAAAACAGGACACTTGTGACATAAATTTTTTTTAAATGGCGCGAAAGCGAAAAATATATGCAGACAACGAGACAACTCAATATTAGTTCTTTTTTAATTTTTGATCATGAAACATTTTTATATACAGGGTGGAAATTTGTAATGCCACTTGGAAGGAAAGTACGTTAAATACTGGAGATAGAAAATTTTACTTAAAGGAAACATTCCTTTATTTTTAAAAAGAAATAATACTGCATTCAAGGATTTTCGAGAATTGCTAGCCATACGCGGGAATCGAAGAAGCGGAACCCTCCAGGTGGCATTACAAATTTCCACCCAGTATATACATTTTTAATCATTGAACATTTCATAACTATAGATAGATAAAAACTTTATTCACTTCCATGACAACTTATTTACATAGGATCCACTAAAACTAACACTTAATTATAATTATATTGAACCACTTAAAATAACAATTTTTTTATAACAAAAGGAACATATAACTACACATAAGTATCGAGTTCTTAGGTTTTCGCGATTGTTACACATAGGAAATGAAACTATTTTCCCGGATTTAAATCGCGTATATTTGTTTTTTCAAATAAACTGATGAAGGGCGCTGTAAAGGGCCCGAAACGTCGGCTTGTTTGAAAAAACAAATATACGCGATTTAAATACGGAAAAATAATTTCATTTCCTACACATAAGCAATTAAAGTAAATAGTTTTGGAAGTCATGGCTTATTATTATTAATAATAATAAGCCATATTATTAATGTCTTAAAATGTTTTAAAACAATAATGAATTTACAGAAATCCGGTACTGAGGGAAAAAAACAATGGTTACTTTAATCATGAGCCCATAGAATATTCTAGGTCAGGAGCAATGCTGCCCTCCCTGCCATAACTAACGCATTTGCATTTTGGTAACTTTCCAGATATTGGCATCAACATTTCTTTTTGCTAACAAAAAATGGCAATTACGCTGATTTTGTTTAACAATAACACTCAATAAGAGCTGGTAGCTGTAAAGGTATCTACAGGGTGACGAAATACTTTCATAGATTACTCATAGATGGCGACACGGCTAAAAACTCTTTGAAAAACCAAATACAAAGATACGACAACAAGCACATAGAAAAATTCGTGAGGTCCGCTGGTACGTTCCGTGGCTTAGTTGGTATAGCTTCTGACACGGTATGCTAGAAGACGTCGGTTCGAATCCGGCCGGATCGAAGGATTTTTTCTGAGTGTTCGATCTACGTATTAATAACTTTAATAAACTAGTGGAGTAATTTCACATAAAAAATAATTGAATATGAATTCAATAAAAATTTAAATAACACAAACTAAATAGGATATAAAAAATCCGATTAGAGGGGGTTGTAGATCTCGTTTCGCTGATTCCAGATATGTTAATAAATCGATTTAGCTTAAAATGTCGGTTACGTTAGTTATAGTCAGGAGGGCAGAATAGGTACCGCCTCTTCCATGAGATTACGGCATTTACAGTGACAGTTATCGCTAGCGACCGCGTAAAATGTTTGTATGCAAAATGTTGTTTGTTCTTGTGACCGCTAGGGGCGCTATATAATTTTCCATACAAAATTGTGAAGTAATTTACGTGGTCGCTAGCGACAACTATCACAGTAAACTCGAGGTAGATGTACTGAGCGATGGATTTTCGATTACTTATTAACCGACTTCAAAAAGGAAGAGGTCCTCAATTCGACGAATTTGTATGTACGTTACGCGATAACTATAGAGTTATCGCGTAACATACATACGAAAAAAACAGTCGAATTGGGAACCTCTTCCATCAAAAAAAGAAAGGAAAGAGGGTACCTCGGTATTGGTCCCATTTAAATTTAAGAAAAATGACAAACTAGATGATAAGTTGATTTCGCGCACTATCCGGTAACCGATTTCAATCAAACTTGACAAATAGACGTCATTCCACGGACTTTTGAGCACGGTTTTTTGTACTCTATACTGAGATTATTATAACACTAAAGTAAACGACAATGTCACTCCAGGGTATTTTAAAATTGAAATTGATATTGTTGTGTTTTAAGCAATTTAAAGACGATACAGAGTATATTTATTTTCTTTTATCACCTTCCAAACGACTAATAACATAATAATATAACGCATACACTCAACATAGCCCTGCACTAGAGAAAACCCTGTGTCGCGGGTACCATGGACACACTCATAGACAGCCACAAATTACCCCCAAACTCACGAGAGAAATAAATTAATAGAATGACGTAATAGAATCGAACCTGGGACCTCTGCTGACAATACGGCACGGTAACCGTTCGGCCACGGAAGCAGTTAATACAAAGACTTATAAGAACACTTGACTATCTATGTTATCAGTATTTTTGAAATGCTATAAAAGGGCTCCCTCTAACACAGAGATATACTCAAATAGAAAGGGATTGTATATACATATAACTGGAGGATCTGTAT